GGGAAACTGTAGGAAGACCTTGGTAAACTCCACGAGTAGACAGGCAGATGGCTGTTCGAGTTTGACCCCCAACAAGAGCAAGGTAATGAAGGTGGGGAAAGAGATATATGAGGTCAGAAAGAATCTACACCGTAGAGGAAATACATCTACAGCAATCAAAGAAAAATTACAAGATTGAGGAATACGCTGTATACAATTGTAGCGATAACACCGGCATGATATCGGTGTGTGACACAAGATATCACAACGGGGACTTACATTAGAGTCACTGCTCAACCATGCAGCTGTGTAAGAAAACGGAAAAGCTAAGATCCGAACTGACAGCTGTATGGGGACAGGAGATCTTAGTGCCACAAGGAATCTACCTGTCCACAACTATTTTTTTTGTATCATGCTCATATCTCACCTGTTTTCCAAAAAATAGAAAAAGGCATAAAATATGAGGACGACATTACTTCCATCGCTCGTTAATCACGCCAATAAAACTCGGTGACAATAGAATTCATAAACAATTTTGTACAAAATGTGAGAATGTTACCAAATAACCAAAAGTCCCAAATAATATACATGCCATTATGTGCCTCTGTAGCCCTTTCCACTACCGCCCACGGGATGGGTATGGGGTGCATAATAAATGAACTAAACTAAAACTGCTTGAAAGAAGCCAGAGACAAGCGCATCATTCAACAGAAAGAATGCAGGAAGGCTGTTGGACTCAGCATTCTCATTAATGATAAAATAACGGAAGCCCAAAAGAGAGCTACCTTGAGGTTACCTGGAGGTGCTTCCGGGGCTTAGCGTCCCCGCGGCCCGGTCGTCGACCAGGCCTCCTGGTTGCCGGACTGATCAACCAGGCTGTTGGACGCGGCTGCTCGCAGCCTGACGTAGGAGTCACAGCCTGGTTGATCAAGCTGGAGGCATTGTGAGAAAATATTGCGTCATCCACGAAAGTACAATTAGACGCTGTACGTATTAAATGACTTTGCAAGAATGTATCACTTATTGGTTATGAAAGTATATATATATATATATATATATATATATATATATATATATATATATATATATATATATATACAAAGAAAGGTCCATGTCCGCCTGAATCTCCACAGCCACCACAAACATGAACAAACTGAACCATAAAACAAGGTTCAGACTACGGGCTCGCCATAGCCCGTGCTACTTTGAACTTTTTGTTCCAAGTAGCGAATCTTAAACAACAACAAAATAAGGCATGTAAGGAAAGCCGCAAAACACCCATAAGCTTCAGGAATCACTGAACACACAACCACCGGACAACAGACCTCAACAGGAGACCAACAGGATGGTCGAACAGGGGCCAACAGGATGGTCGAACAGAGGCCAACAGGATGGTCGAACAGGGGCCAACAGGATGGTCGAACAGAGGCCAACAGGATGGTCGAACAGGGGCCAACAGGATGGTCGAACAGAGGCCAACAGGATGGTCGAACAGGGGCCAACAGGATGGTCGAACATGGGCCAACAGGATGGTTTAACAGGAGCCAACAGGATGGTCGAACAGGGGCCAACAGGATGGTCGAACAGAGGCCAACAGGATGGTCGAACAGAGGCCAACAGGATGGTCGAACAGGGGCCAACAGGATGGTTTAACAGGAGCCAACAGGATGGTCGAACAGGGGCCAACAGGATGGTCTAACAGGAGCCAACAGGATGGTCGAACAGGGGCTAACAGAATGGTCTAACAGGAGCCAACAGGATGGTCGAACAGGGGCCAACAGAATGGTCGAACACCGTGGAAATGTTAGAAGACCCACTACTAGAAAGATTACTCCAAGATGAGACGCTCCGCTCCCACAGACTGGGGCCCAGGAGCAACCACTCCAACTCTAACTCCATGGCAACTCTACTCCATGGCAACTCTACTCTATGGCAACCAAGACCCACAATACATAATTCCTAAATGATGATGCAGACCAGAAAAAAACTTCTATATGATCAAAATATCTACACATGCAGGCATATACATAAACATAAGAGTGTGTATGTGTGCTCTCACACATATATATACATATTTATACATGGGCATCCATATATGTTAAAATTACATATGCATGATTTTGTTACAAATTCAACAGCGTCGTGGTAAAGAGAGCAAGCTTAGCTTAGATAGATATCTATCTATCACATCTACTGACACATCTATCGTGTTAGAGTCAGCCCGTCTTTCATAACTCACGAAATTTTCCTGAAATTTGCGGCACATTTAAGGACAAATTTGCCGCCACAGCGACGGTACTGGCCAACGTCACTCATCCTGTGAGTGAACATACCGTCACGGTGACAGTATTGAGTAGCGTCACTCATCCTTGTGAGTGAACATCCCGTCACGGTGACAGTATTGGGCAGCGTCACTCATCCTGTGAGTGGACACACCGTCATAGTGACAGTATTGGGCAGCGCCACTCATGCTGTGAGTGGACACACCGTCATAGTGACAGTATAGGGCAGCGCCACTCATCCTGTGAGTGGACACACCGCCATAGTGACAGTATTGGGCAGCGCCACTCATCCTGTGAGTGGACACACCGCCATAGCAGCATGTACAACACTCCCCAATAGGAAGAAAACCCGCTGGGTTGTTCATCCTGTCACTTGTACCCAGACACACCTGGGACTTGCTTAACTGTCATGGGTTCTCTGGCAGGTTAGGAGAAGGAGAGGGGCACCTTAGTACGTCAGTTTCTTGACGTTGGGGAAAGCTAGAAAGGACGGGCGAATGTGTATTTTGTGTTCAAAATGTGTTCAGTCGTGTTTATTTTCAGCTGAAGCTACATTTTACGCAATGTACAGATTCACTGAGGTACAGATTCAAAGCACAGATTCACTGAGGTACAGATTCAAAGCACAGATTCACTGAGGTACAGATTCAAAGCACAGATTCACTGAGGTACAGATTCAACGCACAGATTCACTGAGATGGTCGTCATATTTCTTTTACCTTGTATCGGTGCTGTTGCATGCCGACTCCTCTGAATGGTAAGTAGAAGAGACTTGTTGATGAAGCACTGACTCTCTCAAGAGTCCTGCAGCATCCTCGCCAATCTTGACACATCTGCTCGTTCATTCCCACAGATTGTAACAACGGGGGAATCCTCTGAAACGTGATTATTTCCCCTGATTGGTGAAGATTTTCACACGTCTCATAATTTCAGCGACTGTCCCCCTCCCTCTGTTTTCTGCTTGTCTAGGGCTTTGTAGTGGTAAATAGGTACCTGGGAGTTAGACAGCTGCTACGAGCTGCTTCCTGGGCGGGGGGGTGTAACGAGGCCTGGTCGAGGACCGGGCCGCGGGGACGCTATGCTCCGAAATTATCTCAGGATAACCTTAAGATAGTGTAGCTTTCAGGTATTGACCAGGGGCCAGATTCACGAAAGCACTTACGCAAACACCTACGAACCTGTACATCTTTTCTCAATCTTTGGCGGCTTTGTTTACAATTATTTTGCCCGAAACGCTCCGCGTGCTAGTGGCTTTACAAGACTGTAATTATCATATTTGTATCCTCACATTCCTTATGTACATTCTTGTATATGCATAAATAAATAAATAAATAAATTATTAAACAGTTAATGAGCTCCGAAGCACCAGGAGGCTGTTTATAACAACTACAACAGTTGAATGGCAAGTTTTCATGCTTGTAAACTGTTTAATAAATTTGCGTAATTTGCGTGTTTGCGTAAGTGCTTTCGTGAATCTGGCCCCAGATCCCTGTCTGCTCCCCTTTTTATCTTAAGGTCGTCGGTGGAGGTGGGCTAGTTCCACACCCCTTCCCCCACCTGCCCCCCCACCTGCCCCCCACCTGCCCCATATACAACAGGGCCTCGCCCACTCGCTCGCTTCACTACCACCTTGCTGCCCACGGCATATTTTCCCCCATTACCCACCAGGCGTCGCTCCTGAACAAATAAAGCCAAAACTAATCAAAATAAACGAACCCGAATCTGGCTGGTGAATCGAGCTAATCAGTCAGACTGGAAATCAGGCGGTTGGGTAGTTGGGTAGTTAGCGAGTATCGAGGGATGGGTGATGTGGGGTGGGAGGGAGGGAGGGTTAGAGAGAGAGAGGCGAGCAAATTAGTAATTGAGAAAACATAGACGGACGGGGATTAAATTTCTGATCGCAAGTCGGCCGACTGTAAGGCAGCCTTGTCAGTGAGGCGGCTTGGCGCTCTCTTGCCCCCGCCCCGTTGAGATGTGTACCGGGCGAACAGTCTGCCTCTGTCTGCTCGGCCGGCGACGTGACCACCGAGCAGGGAGAGAACCGCGCCATGCACGGAGAAAGGGAGAAATTCCTAGGGAGGAGGATCGAGGCAGACGGAGAAAGAGGGAAATTCCTAGGGAAGAAGCAGATGGTGCAGGGAGATAGGAAGGGGGGAAATACATGGCGTAGGGAGAAATTCCAAGGGAGATGCAAGGGGAAAAAGGGAGATATTTCTAGGGGAGGGAGCAGAGGCCTGTGAGGTAGGGAAAGAGACCGAGCAGAAAGAAGATCCCGGGAAAGAGGGGGAAACACGGAGATAGATTGGAGAAGTGGAAGCTCGGGTAGAGGAGAGAGGGATAAGAGAGAGAGTGTGGCGAAGGGGGGAGAAAGCGAACGAGTGAGGAAAGAAAAGAGGAAGAATGAGACAGCGGTGGGAAACTGAAGATGAAAAAGAGGAGGTAGGAGAGGAACCAGGAAAATGAACGGGTGGGAAGGGAGAACAAAGGAAAGATAGGAAGAATAGACAGGATGAGAGAGAGAGAGTGTATTCACCTAGTTGTATTCACCTAGTTGTGTTTGCCGGGGTTGAGCTCTGCTCTTTCGGCCCGCCTCTCAACTGTCAATCAATCAACTGTTACTAACTACTAACTTCTTTTTTCACACACGCCCACCCCCCAAGGAAGCCGCCCGTAACAGCTGTCTAACTCCCAGGTACCAATTTACTGGCATCAGGGTGAAATAATCTCTGCACATTGTTTCTTGCCGGCGCCGGGAATCGAACCCGGGCCACGGGATTACGAGTCCCGTGCTCTGTCCACTCAGCTACCAGCGACTCATATATGTGTGTGTATTCACCTATTAGTGCTTTCGGGGGTTGAGCTCTGCTCTTTTGGCCCGCCTCTCAACTGTCAATCAACTGTTACTAACTACTAACTATTTTTTCACACACACACACACACACAAATCTATATTTGTAGATAACCACCTACAAACTTATCAGGGGAATTGACAGGGTGGACAAAGACAGACTCTTTAGCACGGGTGGAACACGCACAAGGGGACACAGGTGGAAACTGAGTACCCAGATGAGCCACAGAGACATTAAAAACAATTTTGTCAGTGTCAGAGTAATTAATAAATGGAATGCATCAAGTAGTGATGTGGTGGAAGCTGACTCCATACACAGTTTCAAAAGCAGATATGATAGAGCCTAGTAGGCTCAGGAATCTGTACACCAGTTGACTGACGGTTGAGAGGCGGGACCAAAGAGCCAGCGCTCAACCCCCGCAAGGACAACTAGGTGATTAAACACACACTCGGGGCAACACTCATCTAACCCCCACAGATCGGTAAACAAACCAGACCTAAATAGCAGCAATAATGCCGGTTCCCTCCTCATAACATGAGCCATTCGCTACAATCCCACCAACTGGCGGGTCGTACGAGCTGCACTGCGCCCTCCGCTATGTCTAGATGATATCACAGGGCTTGTACGAGTACAGACGAGCAATCTTAACAACACACACAATGGTACAGGCGGCCGTAACCTGACCTGTCAGTCCTTATATACTAAGCAGCAAGGGTCCTCCTCCGTCTTGCAAGCACTTGTGACTGCGGCTAATAGTGCGTGCGTGTGTGTGTGTGTGTGTGTGTGTGTGTGTGTGTGTGTGTGTGTGTGTGTGTGTGTGTGTGTGTGTGTGTGTGTGTGTGTGTGTGTCTCTCTCTCTCTCTCTCTCTCTCTCTCTCTCTCTCTCTCTCTCTCTCTCTCTCTCTCTCTCTCTCTCTCTCTCTCTCTCTCTCTCTCTCTCTCTCTCTCTCTCTCTCTCTCTCTCTCTCTCTCGGGTGTCTTCTGCCACCATACCCAGATTGGGCTACAAATAGCGAATTGGGCTACTTTTGAGAGCCCCGCGCTCCCAAATTTTTAATTTCGCTACTTGCTACTTTTTGGGCTAATTTAAAAGCAAGATGTGCTAATTTGGGCTATTAATGTTAAGAATGTACGATTGCGAGTTACATGAAAGTAACTAAGCTATAAATAATTGTAATTAATAATAATTGTAAATATTAATTAATACTAAATAATATTATTTAATAAATTAGTCCCAATTCAATGCAGAGTTTTCTTCCAAGCACAGAAACTTGTAAATATAAATACAAGATAATAGATAGATCGATAAATAAATAGACAACTTTCAAATATTGCACCAAGTAATGGCGAGAGGAAAAAACTAGACAGTATACATTACATTTGAAATTAATAATGGATGAATGGTAATAAATTGGTGTATGTTTGTATGTATACCAGACAAAGTCCATTTAATGGCAGAATTTAGCCATTTTGTGTAAAAACTTTTATATCTCATATTATTAATTATAACAGTAATCGAAAAAAGTCATAGTTTGTATATACAAGAGATGAAACAGAGAGCCATGAGCTAGAGCGATGTGCTGAGTCCATAAGGAGGCCGAGCTTCCAGAAATACCTTCCTGTGATTGGCTGTTGCGGGGAATACCAACACTCTTTTATGAATAAAATTTAAACTAAGAAATAGGTCCTTGTGCACAACAACAAGGTTGTTGTGAAAAAGAACAACAATTTCTGTTTTGCACCTGACAGAAATCTCCATCTAACTGAATAATTTACTCGAATAAGAGGGCAGAGCAGCGTATCATTATTTGTGTCAAGGCAACCCCCAATAATAACGTCACAAGTTAGGTAGCCAGCCCATTTTTATATAACATCTGTTATATCCTGCAATATTTAATTATCACTTTATTAACACTTTAAATAATTAACACTTCACTTTTTGGGTAAATTAAAGTTAAAGCAGAATTCCATAAGCAGGACTGGTGGGCTGAACTAAGATGATTTACTAAGTGGATGGCACCTATAGCTGATCCCTTCCTGTGATTGGCTGTTGCGGGGAATGCCAACGCTTATATGAATAAAATGCAAAATAAGAAATACGTCCTTTAGCTCAATAAGGTTGTTGTTGTACAAAAGAACAACAATTTCTGTTTTATACATGACAGAAATTTCTAACTGAATAATGTAGACCAATAAGAGGGCGGAGGCATTGTATCGCCGATATTATTTGTGTGAGGCAACACCCACTGATGACGTCACAAGTTAGGTAGCCAGCCCATGTTTCTGTAACACTCGTTACATCCTGCAGTATTTAATTATCACTATATTAATACTTTTAAATACTTAACATTTCACTTTTTAGGTAGATTAAAGTTGAAGCAGAATGTCATAAGCAAGGATGGTGTGCTGAATAAAGATGATTTATTAAGTGGATGGAGCCTTTGGCTGATCCCTTCCTGTGATTGGCTGTTGTGTGAATGTCAACAAAGAATATCTACCAATGATATGCCATTTATTATGCACCCCATACCATTTGTGGGCGGAGCTTGGAACCTCCTACCCGAGCACAACAACCCACCTTATGGGTTGCTGTTTGGCTATTTATAGTGCGTTGGAAAAAGAGATGGCGTTAGTTGTATTTTGCAGGGTAATTTGTTATAAGTGTAATTTGATGTCAACAGATGGCGTAAGCTGTATCTTATGGCCACTGTTGACCAGCCAGTTGATAGTGTTCTCTTCTGCCGACAGATGGCATCAGCTGTGTTATTATTACTTCCGAATTCCCTTTAAACACTGATCTACAAATCCCTTGGCTTATGATAAGGTTTTATACCATTTATGATAAGTATTAGATAACTGGAGTTCCGCAATTACTTTTATTTATCAACTGTTGAGGATATCATCATATAACGTCTGGTTAGGACGTACTGCTCTCGATTGATGAAGATTAAGCCACCCAAGAGGTGGCACGGGCATGAATAGCCCGTAAATACTGCTCTCGTAATATTATTCAGGGGGGTGGGGGAACTATCAAGTGAAAGCGCCAAGCCATTACGACTATATAGCACTCGGAAGGGATCAGGATACGGATTTGGGATGGAACGGGGGAAAGGAATGGTGCCCAACCTCTTGGGCGGTCGGGGATTGAACGCGGACCTGTAGGAAACGAGACCGTCGCTCTACCGTCCAGCCCAAGTGGTTAAGCGTAATATTATTAAAACAACAATTTATGCATATAATAACAGCATTTCACACTAAAAATACTTGGATATATTGAAATTTGGTAGTGAATTCCAATCTAGGAATCTCCTATGACTAAACTGTACTTTTTAATCATTTTTATGTACTTACTACTTATTATTAAATTATTAAGTACTTTCTATAATAATTAAATAAATTATTTTATTTAATATTTAAATTAAATGATAAAATAATAGGTAATAATAAATCATTGTTTAGGGGGACAGGCAGCCAGTGTATATATACATGTTAGGCTTATACCAAGGTCCCACCACAAAGGTGCCAAATTAAAGACTGGGTGCTGCCGGGGCGGGCCCAAGGGCTGCTGCCGGCAGGCTGAACTTCCGCGCCCTTATAATCACCATTGTTTAATAATCTTCACAGGGAGAAACAACTGTAAATATAGGAATAGTTTATTACAACATACACGGTAAAGAAAACAGCTCGGAAACTAAGGAAATAAAGCTGCCGAAAAAACATTAAAGTCCACTTCAAGTTCAAGTATGTTTATTGAGACAATAAAAAAATACATCTCAAAGGAATAGAGTAGCTTAGGCTATTTCTACCCCCGCCCCCCTCTACTTCAAGTCCCTCAAGGGGCGCACAAATTCAGTGAGTACAAATACACAAATCACAGTACAAGAATCCCATTTAACATAGCAGGTTAAAATAGGAAGCACAGCATATAAGTGTTACATTAAGTGAGTTACAAGTTACAAGGGAACAAGTGAGAAGGCGGTGGAGGCCAAAACCGGAATTGCACACTGATTTTAATGCAGATATGTCGTGATTATCATAATATTAAGATGTTAAGGCACGAAAACCTTTTTATTCGTTAAATTGTATAAGGCAATTAAAAGAACCTAACTCACAGCCCCTCTGTTCAAGTCCCTCAACATGCTAAACATATACTCACTCTACACATTCTCGTGTGCTATCTACATGTACACAACCCTTGCTCCTAAATGCTAATCTTGATCTGAAACTTTTCCTTGATAGGTGTAATAGAACCCATGAGTACCACACTAGAAATAAATATCTATTTGATATCCCCAGAGTCAGGCTAAATCTGTGTAAACACTCCATGCAAGTTAGAGGGCCCCAGTCTTTGGCACTCACTCCCTGATGAATTAAACAATTGTCCAATCTCTGCGCTTGAGGTCATCTTGAGATGATTTCGGGGCTTTAGTGTCCCCGCGGCCCGGTCCTCGACCAGGTCTCCACCCCCAGGAAGCAGCCCGTGACAGTTTGACTAACACCCAGGTACCTATTTTATTGCTAGGTAACAGGGTCATAGGGTGAAAGAAACTCTGCCCATTGTTTCTTGCCGGCGCCCAGTATCGAACCCGGGACCACAGGATCACAAGTGCAGTGTGCTGTCCGCTCGGCCGACCGGCTCCCGTGGTGAAGGTATTAACGGTGTGGTGAAGGTATTAACGGTGTAGTGAAGGTATTAACGGTGTGGTGACGGTATTAACGGTGTGGTGACGGTATTAACGGTGTGGTGACGGTATTAACGGTGTGGTGACGGTATTAACGGTGTGGTGAAGGTATTAACGGTGTAGTGAAGGTATTAACGGTGTGGTGACGGTATTAACGGTGTGGTGACGGTATTAACGGTGTGGTGACGGTATTAACGGTGTGGTGACGGTATTAACGGTGTGGTGACGGTATTAACGGTGTGGTGAAGGTATTAACGGTGTGGTGAAGGTATTAACGGTGTG